CTTTTTTTTTTAAACAATAAGTACATCCTTTCTTTCTTCGTCCAGTACCTCAGTGTCACACTTTTTCACCACCAACAAACACTCACTCCTCATTAACACCAACATCTTCCTCCAAACTCATGCCTCATTCGTTTTCCTCCGTTTTCTCCTCCTCGTTCTCTTCTGCCGTTCCGTTGTTCTCCTTGTTCTCGTCTTCTTCCTTGATCGTGTCTTCTATCACGGTCTCCTCTGCGTCGCCGTTCACCTTCTCGTTTCTGAGGGCGGCCTCGGCGCGGAGCTCGGCGTCTGGGAGGAGGAGGACGGAGAGTGAGTGACAGGGAGTGACAGGGAGTGAGAGGGAGTGGCAGGGAGAGAGAGGGAATGACAGGGAGTAACAGGGAATGACAGGGAGTGATAGGGAATGACAGGGAGTGATAGGGAATGACAGGGAGTGATAGGGAATGACAGGGAGTGAGAGGGAATGACAGGGAGTGACAGGGAATAACATGGAGTGACAGGGAATGACAGGGAGTGGCAGGGAGTGAGAGGGAGTGAAATGGAGTGGAAGTAAGGGAGGAGGATGTGGATGGGGAGGGGGAGTGGGTGTAAATTGTAGGGGAGGGAGTGGGAGTGAGAGTGGGAGAGGAAGTGAGAGGGAGAGGAAGAGGGAGAGTGGATGTAAATGGTGGGGGCGGGGGTGGGAGTGAGAAAGGGAAAGGAAGTGGGAGTGAGAGTGAGAGCGAGAGGGAGAGGAAGTGGGAGGGAGAGGGAAAGGGAGAGGGAGATGGAGAAAAATTATTATTTCATTCGCCAGGTATTGCGGGACTGATACCACGTAGAGCTAGTTTGGAATATAGCCTGTCTATCTGACATGGCAATTCATAGTTTATAATTTAAACAGAAATCTATAAAATGACATAATTCAACATAATTACTACTGCTTATTTGCCTATTTAAACTATAATGATTTTATACTGCTACAGACCATACAGTGTGTTTATTATACTGAAATTATATAATGAAACCTACTAATACTGAACTACATTACCAATTTCCAAGAAAAAAAAGACTGAAAACGATAACATATAGAAAATATCTTTAATATATAAAAGGATCCCTTTATCTTACGGTAAATGGTTTCACCCTCTATTTTTATTTATAGTTATCATTGTTTCATTTCATTTACTAATTAATCGGTCTATTAATTCATCTATCTGTCAGCACATCACTAAAAATCAATCGATATATTCATTACTAAGTTAACAATTTATACCCATCCATTAATCTATCGTCATTTCACTTATAATTTCTCTTGTATCTATCATTTATTTATCAACTATGCTTATGATTATCGTTTCATTTATCATCTACTGACAGTTCCTCTTATTCATATATCATTCTATCATCCTCGCTAATCTTTAATATATTCTAAAATCATGCATCTGCTTATCAGTCATCATATCTATCTCCCCCTTTCACTATCTATCTATTTATCTATCACTGAACTTTACCCATATCATCCTCTCACCATCCACACCCCTTCCTCATTTCCTACCTATGTATGCATCTATGTATTTATCTAGCTATGTATCCACTATCATACCTAACTTTCCCTTTCAACTATCCATCTACTCACTAGCGACGCCTATCTAATCTATCTGCCTATCCAATATCACACATTCCGTCCCTTTACCCTTATCTATCTATCTCTCTATCCATCTATCTATCTACATATCACCAAAATTTACCCATTTCACAAATTCTTGGCTATCTGTCTATTTATCCATCATGCCTACCTTCTCCTTTGCACTAATTATCTATCTATCCATCAAACCTACCTTCCCCTTTCCACTATCTATCTATCTATCCACCATACTTACCCTCCCCTTCCCACTATCTATCTATCTATTTATCCATCCATCACACCAACCTTCCCCTTTTCAACAATCTATCCATCCACCTATCTACCTACTTCCCAAACCACCGTTCCTCCCCCCCCCCCCACCCCATGCTATCTAACCCACGCCCATCCCCCCCACCCCCCTACCACCATCTAACCCACGCCCACGCCATCTAACCCACGCCCCCCGCCGCTCCCCCTACTGCCATCTAACCCACACCCACGCCATCTAACCACGCCCATCCCCCCACCCCCCCTACCACTATCTAACCCACGCCCACGCCATACCACGCCCATCCCCACCCCCTACCGCCATCTAACCCACACCCACGCCATCTAACCACGCCCATCCCCCCCCCCCCCCTACCACCATCTAACCCACGTCCCCCCCCCAACCCCCTACCACCATCTAACCCACGCCCACGCCCATCCCCTCCTCCTCACCTTTCGTGGCGCGCTCCTTCCACCGGCTCTTGTTCGCCGAGAGACAGTCCTGCCAGGGGCGCCGCACCTCCGAGCCCACGACACCGCATGGTCGGACTGGGCGCTTGATGGGGCCTCCGGGCTCTGCAACGACCGGGGGCATCAACAGGTCTATTTCTCCCCGGAAACGAAAGGGGG